AATAGTTTTATTTGATGAACATAAATATGTTGTTAGACTGTCTATCTATTAGACACTCATATTATTTACGAAATATACATATCTATAATATGAAACAATATAATTTTTTCTATACTAAAATTTAAATATAAATTATACCACCCAAGAGCGCTTGGATGAAATGGCTTGGGTCTCTTCCAGCTTAACCAGTGGTCTCGAGTTCGAGCCCTGGGAATGCAGCAGTGTTAAAACTCTTGAGGGAGAGCTTTGCCGCCCTTGTGGTCCTACTCGACTCGATTCCGAATTAGTCGGTTCCCCTGTGGATTCGGAAACCGGAAGGTCCCTATACAAAAAAAAAATAAATATAAATTATACCTAATTTTTGAAATGATAATGATGATATTTAACACACAATCCCGATAAAAAAAAATAGTCTAAATTCGTTGACTTTCTCCGAGCTTTTCTCTTGAACCCGCCGTGTTTGTAGGGACGTTTTTTTTAAAATTTTCTAAACCAATTTTTCTCCACAAAGTCTAAAATGTTCACTAATTTGACAATTGAATTTGTGCCTTTGCAGTTCTTACTTAAGTACAAATAAATTTTGGTATTTTTAATGCGTACTTAACGATTATATAATCATAATATATTTTATTATGTATATATTTTTTTAAACTGAAATATTGTAATAAAAAAAAATCAACATAAAAAAAATTGTGATATAATATTTCATAATGTAAGTATGTTTTAAACAAAAATATTTTTTTGATTAACATAGGTATATATCAAATAAAGTTGTCTATTTCATAATATAAAATGTCTGCATTTTTTTTTTTAAAAAAATATGTACATATCGATTCATCTAATAGTTAGCAGATGTAGTACAAAGACTATAATTACCTTTCCACGTCACTAGTCTGAGCATCCATAATACTTTGAGTTCAACCACAAAAAAATTTACCTAAGAAATACATCTAGTGTAAAATATGTATTCTGCAATACAATTGATTAGGTCCTGCTGATGTGGCAGCCAGGAAAATAGACTCGGTCTACCTTTAAGTCTATTTTAAATCCAAATAGAGACCTGAATTTTATCAATTTTAGATAATTTTTTTTATGTCACTTGTATTTATTTACATGCCACATAAGAATAAACTCAATCTATACTTATATAAGAAGTCATCCCATTTACTAGAATTAGGGGGAAGAAATGTCAATCATAATTAATTGCACACCATATTTAGAAAGTTTTTAGATTTTTTAAATCATAAAATAAGGTAGCATTAAGTTCCCATAAAATTATGAGTTTTGTTGAATTCATTTTTAATAAAATCTTCATCCAAATTTATGTGTGGTTTTGAAGTGAAAATTTGAAATTAAAAATCTCTTCTCATTTTAGTTACAAGAAATTCGGGGTGCATTCAACACTTTGACCAATTTAAAAATTATTCCTTAAATAAAAAAATTTATAGATAATGTTATCTCTACTCAATCACATAATTATTTTCAATATAAAAAGAGATAGATTATAAATTAGTGAATCATATATTACCCAATTCAATATCTTAACATTAAGGAATAAATTCATAGTATTATGTAAATCCGTATCTCATATAATTATACCATTAAGAATATATATTATAGCTATATTACCAAAACATAAATAGATATTAAATTCATAATGTAAAAAAAAAAAAAATCATATAATTTTATAACAATTCTACTACACTATTTAACAGTATTCATTTTCATTATGCAATAAAATAATAATTAAATATTATATAGGGAACAAAAATAAGTAAAACTGTTACGTTTCTCTTATATCAAGAGATAAATTTATATGCTAAAGTTAAATTTTTATTAATATAAATATTTTAGTGAGATAATATATTAATTATTTTACAAAATTAGCACTAACATGCTCATATTTAATGTTCTCGCTAAAAAAATAACGCTGGTAAAAAATGTGAAAAAAGCTTATAACCCTATTATTTTTTAGACTTAACGTTGATTAAAAGAGATAGAAAATAGATAATAACCCTTTTACTTTTTATACTTAAACGAACAAGGCTGTAAAAATAATTCAATATCTTTGTCTGTAAAAATAACTCAATATTTTTGTCCCGTGCATCGCACGGTATGCGGCCTAATAGGGCATATATAAAGTCTATAGTTTCACACCACCCTATTTAAGACACGTCAACTCTTCTCATTTATTTTATTTAAAAAAACCAAACAAAAAAGAAAAACAAAAGCAGAAAAAAGTTATATAGTTACTCCTTCACAATTCACATCCCTTTTTATATAGACTCGTCTATAGCATTCAAAGAAGACTTCCCACACTCTTCAATATTTCTCTCTCTATATCTCTCTCTACAAATCTACATATCAATAAAATTTCATTTTCATTTTCATTTTTTTGGCTTTTATTCAATTCTTGATCTTATATAATTTATGGAAAAAGGCTGGTGTCTGACCCTCGATAACTCCGATCAAGTCGTGTTTTCCGGCAGCAAAACTCCGTTCGGACTCGACCACCGGAACAAGGGCTTCGTCGTCATGCCTCCGGCGAACGATGGCGGCCGAGAGGATCCACCCAACGCCGCTCCGCCTCCGCCGCCGCCGCTCTTCGGCGCGGTGGATTTCTTCACGGAGAAGAACAAAAGGGCCGCCGACGAAACCAACGCCGTCGTCAAGAAGGAAGAGAACGTGCTGGCGGTGGCTGGTGAATCTGAAGTCAACGTGAGTTGACTTTCCATGATTAGATTTCAATTCCTTTTTTTTTTCTTTTCTTCTTCAGTTTTTTGGTTATTTATTTATTTAATTATATTTAATTTATTTTCCGGTTCAGACCGGTTTACAACTCCTGACGGCGAGCGAGCAGTCAACGGTAGACGACGGGGTTTCATCGGATGCGGAGGATAAGCGAGCGAAAATCGAGGTGATTTATCTATTAACTTATGGATTTATTAATTAATTAATCTCGTATTTTTTTATATATAATTTTGTGATAATTTTAAACCTAATTTTATTTATTTTTTATCTGAAAATATTATAGTTAGTACAACTTCAAGTTGAGCTGGAGAAAATGAATGCCGAAAATCAGAGGTTAAGAGGGATGCTTGCACACGTCAGCAACAATTACAACGCGCTTCAGATGCAATTAGGGACTTTAATTCAGCAGCAACAAAATTCAAGAATCGATAGTAATAATAATAATCAAGTAGACAAGGTACGTTATTTTTAATTTACTTTTCTTCAAATTTTAATTTAGATTGATCACAAATTAATTAATTTTATTCGTATACTATAAATCAAGATCTTAATATTTAGTTAATTATTGTAGATCTAATTACTACTGATTTTCGTATAAATTCAAACTATATTACATATGTTAGAATTAATTAATTTAACCAATATGAGTATGTACGATTGTTTTGCGTTTCAGTCGGTTGAAAGAAAATCTGAGGAAAAAAAACTGGAGAACGATGGACAATTAGTTCCAAGACAGTTCTTGGAGATGGCGCCACGTGTCGCCACCCGATCGGCCGACGAGCAATCTGAGTCCTTGTCCGAAGAAAGAACCCTTTCTGAGTCGCCTCAAGAAAGCCTCGAGATATCAAGGAACAAAAGGGCCGAAAATCAAGAATCGGAGGGTTGGGCTTCGAACAAGGCTCCGAAACTTAGTCCTTCTAATACGGTCGAGCAATCGACCATGCGCAAAGCTCGTGTTTCTGTTCGGGCACGGTCGGAAGCTCCCATGGTGAGCGGAATATTAGTAAATCGAGCGACGAGTATTGCTAGGGTTACGATTTGGTATATTCTTATTAGGGTTTTAATTTTTTTTGCTAAAATGGGACTCGTTTTTTGTTGTCGTTTGAAGATTTCGGATGGATGCCAATGGAGAAAATACGGGCAGAAGATGGCTAAGGGGAACCCGTGCCCGCGAGCCTATTATCGTTGCACGATGGCGGTCGGTTGTCCCGTGCGCAAACAAGTATGTGTTTATTTATTAGAATAACATATAATATATATGTAGTTATATGTCATTTTTCTAGAAATTAAGCTACATTCATGTTTGTATACCATGTTAGTTTGTGACTCTTATATATGTGCTATATAATATGACACAAAATGTGGTGATATTTGGATGAATCAATTTGGTCAAGTATTTCAAGCACTCCATTTAATAGTTGTAACAATTTAAGTTACAAATACATAATACCTCATTGAAATTTGGATTAACTAGAAAATAATAAATTTCATACAACTTATATAAGAAAATATAATACTCGAAAATCTATTGGGTTACTCAAAATTATTTCGAAATTTTCTATTTCACTCAACTGTTATCCTGAACTAATACAAGGTCAACCGTATAACGCCTTCTATTATGGATTAATTGGAGTACTCTTTGCTAATTACAAAATTTATGTCCTTCGACGAATTACATAGGTTCAAAGATGTGCCGATGACCGTACAATCCTAATCACAACCTACGAGGGGACCCACAACCACCCGTTGCCGCCTGCCGCCATGGCCATGGCGGCCACCACCTCGTCGGCCGCCAACATGCTCCTCTCGGGCGCAATGCCGAGTGCCGATGGCCTGACGAACCCTAACTTCTTCGCTCGAACAATCCTTCCTTGCTCGACCAACATGGCCACGATCTCGGCCTCCGCGCCGTTCCCCACGATCACGCTTGACCTCACCCAAAACCCCAACCCGGCCCAATTCCCAAGGCCCGGCCCACAATTCCATGTCCCTTTCCAACCGGCCCATCCAGGCTTCGGCCCGGCCCAAGTTCCGCAGATGTTGGGCCAAGCCATTTATAATCAGTCCAAGTTCTCGGGCCTCCACCCACCGACGGTCCAACAGCCGGCATTTGCTGACACGCTGGCGGCGGTTGCAGCCGACCCGAAGTTCACGGCAGCACTGGCGGCAGCGATCTCCTCAATCATCGGCGGTAATCCGGCAAACGGCAGCGAAGTAAATAATGTGGATAATCAGAAATTAAACCAGTGATGGTTTTTAATCATATCCATCTATTTTTGTTTTTTTTTTTATTATTATTATTATTTCCTTTTTTGTGTACTTATTATTTGTTACAGTGGTCCTGTGGCATGAACACAAGTTTAGTTTGATGTAATACAAAGATAAAGTTTAATATGCATGTAATTTTACTTTTTAACTTTATTCTTTTTCTCTTTATACGTGAATATTGCGTAATGCATATGTCAGATTAATCCGCTATTTTTTATTTATTTTTATGTTGAATAACATCCATAAATTGTTCAACAAAATACCAATGTTGTTAAAAAATGTTATAGCACGTTTTATATTAAATTTATTTTGATCTAAAATAATTAATCTGAACTTCTCTTAAGCAAATTTTTACATGCTTGGTCATTATTTTGGATATAAATTATGCCATTTCAATTAACTAACATAAGTTTACTAGTATAACACCCGTGTATTACACGGGTGCTTGCTAATTTTTTTTCTTAAAGTCTAAAATTAATGAGAAAAAGTAGTTGAAAATTTAAATACTTTTTACAAAAATATATATATTATTATATATTAGCATAAAAACTTTTTATTTGTGCGACTTACCTATGTTATATTATAATAATTTTTAACTTACAACATATAACTACATTAAAAATAAATATATCAATTGATAAATAATTTTATTTTACTAATAATTTTAATAAATATTATTATTTTTTATTATTATAAAGATAAACATAATTTATTTATTTCATATATACAATATGGATGTCAAATCGAAGATCATCAAAAGATGATTAATTTGATATATAATATATGTAAAACCGAAAAGAAGTACAAAAGTTATCAACTTTAAAAATACATTTATAATTCAATAGTTAATTGAAGGAACAAATCAAAGTCAGGGATATATTAGTCACTTAGTGCCTCACTATGTAAAATTACAAATAATTAAACGGTTATATTAGTACAAGTGATATTAAAATACCTAAGTTAACTAAATAATATTTATGGAATGTCCGAATCTAAATTATTAATTATTAATATACAATATTATTTGTCCAAACCTAATTACGAAGCATGATTCTTCGCCAAGTAGGATTCCGAAGCACCAGAAGCAGCCACGTAGGCTCAGCGCATTCTGGAATTATATATAGGGAGGATATGCTTGTCATGTAATTTTAATTTAAAATTTTAATAAATTTGGTATCTGTACAAGATTTTTTTATTTAAAATGCCATAATTAATATCAAATTTATGTCAAATTATTGTATTTTGAAATGGCATAATTAATATCAAAATAATGCTGCGAAAGGCTTGATAAGTATATTCTAATTTCTTGAGAGGTCAACAACATCGGCCATCATACGATAAGAAACGTGTTCGACATAGAAATTTCGCGAAGACTTATAAATATTTTTGAAAAATGCTTCAAAAAATGCAATTTTCTTTGATATTTTCCGTTCCAATAATGTCATATCATCATCTTGAATATTTCACAACTAATAAATATAATTTACACTTCACTATCATAAATATTCAATATAAACATTTTTTTTTTATCGATAAATTAAAGATATATAGATAAATGGTGCTACAACGACCGTCAAAAGGTAAACAAAAACCTAGTGAGTAACCACATACTCGGTTCTGTTGTGTACAAATTATTCTTTTTACTGAGTACTGAATCGAAAGATTCGTTTTCCGATTCGATCTCACGAGGAAGGCTGTTCGGTTTAGAAATGGTATCGATCACACACAACAGAAAATAAAATTCTAAACACTCTAATCAGATAAAGGGGATGAATAATTATCAACTAAGAAATAAATAACAATGCAAAAATGTAAATCTACCTAAGAATATGGATGAAACGAAAATGGAGAAGCTAGAGAATCGGGGATAATTAATTCAAGTTTTAGCAAAGTCGGGCATTCAATTGTTCAGTTCAAGATTAACACTCTTGCTTATACATCTAGAGGTTCGCTCCCAATAACTTTTCGTAACAAGGGATTAAACATAGACGTTCAAGTTCGAGCATACAATACAAGTCAATTATCCCAATCCCAATAACTTTTCGTAACAAGGGACAGGTCATTGACAAACACATATTTCAATCTGAAACACATAGATTATTGATTTACGAACTCATCTACCCCATGCGAGCCTAGATCTACGACTTCTCCCCTTTCGGTTCTAAAAGTCGCTAATTCAATTAGAAGAGAATTAATCGACTAATCACGTAGAATCAACAAACCCTAACTCGACTAGTCAACATTCAATTCAATTGTTACCAATTGCAAGATCGAAATGTCACTTTTCGATTATATCAATCAACCAAGTTTAAATTCATCAATTCCTAATCAGAATAACTCGCATAAGCAAGAACAATTTAAGCCCGACAAATGCACGATCCTATCCCTAGCACAAAAGATCAACTATGTAACATGAATTCAACGCGATAAATCGATTCTCCTAATTTAATCATTGTTCATGAATTAAACAAGAGAGAAAAGCTTACAATTATTCCGATCCGAGTTCGAATGTTGAAGTCGGGATACAAGCTTAATCCGAAAAAAAAGAAATAAAAAGGAAAATAAAGATGAAAAGAAGAAAGAAAAATGAAGAAGAAGAAGATTAAAGAAAAGAGAATGGAATTTTTATCGTATTTCCTCGGGCTAGGGTTCGTCTCCCGAAGGGAGAGAATGCCCCGATCGTTTTCCAGAATCTGCTATTAAAATTTGTTCTTACGCGAGGGTCGCGGCCGCGGACAAGCTCGCGGGCCGTGGTGAAGAAGGGTTCCGCGGCCGCGAGATCTTCCGAGGCCGCGAGAATTTGCTGCTGAAGTCTGGGATCACATGAAAATTTCTTGTTGGCCGCGGCCGAGACTTCCTCTCCCGCGGCCGCGGCGAAGGATTCTGGGCGCGGCATGGAATTCTGTAGCAGACGCGGCGTGAAGAGGATGGCCGCCGCGGCGCGGGGCTGTGCCGCGGCGCGGAGCAGAGTGGTGGCTTCTCCGCGGCGTGGAGGAGTGCTGTGGCGCCGCGCGATGGGGTCTTCACGGCGCGGCGGTGGAAGCAGTTCATGGCGTGAGCTTTCCCAGCACGGCGCGGCGGAAATCAACGGCGTGGCAGGAGTTTGGTCTCGCGGCGAGGCACCAATGCACGACGGAGAAGAAGGTTTGATCTCGGAACTGCTCTGTTGCACGTGGAGGTCTGAGAGTGATGACGCAGCGCGGTGGACTCACGGCGTGGATGAAGATGGACTGCCGTGAAGATGGTCTACCGTGAAGGTGATGGACTGTAATGTGCCTTGAGAAGGGCTGCTGCGCCGACACCGACATGGCACGAGTTTGGGGCCCGCTATTGGTCGATTTGCACGGTTTTATGCCTGCGACTCGTTTGAACTCGATCGAGCTTGGCCTATGTGACGCCGACAAACCCCTCTACGAATTAAGCTCGCCAAAAACATTTTCCATAAAATGATACTCAACCGAGGAACCTACCCTGCACATCATAAGACGAAAACAAAAACGAAGAAAACGAAGAAAATAATCGAAGAAACACATAAAGACTCTAAATAAATGAAAACACACGACACGAAATAAAACGGACCAAAACTAAGGGAAAAAACATAAAATGGGGAAAAAAGAAAGGAAAAATAATCACGTAAAACGCAACAAAAATGGGACAAACAGGTTCCTCACTCGCTAATCAAAATAATGAGAGGGCAAAAACCCTTAGAGAACTCCAAATAAGGGTCCAAATGGAGGTTAGGCCAATCCAATCCCGCGGGCTTTCCTCTCCATTTCAGAAAGAATGTTCATGTGTGATTTTACACCATATTCATCTAGTATCTAGAGCTTATTTGTCGCATTATTGGTGTACAAATTGCATTATTGTGCTTTAATTCTATATTTGTTGGAAAGGTACTACACGTGCTTGTTTTGTAGATATTTTCACATATTTGTAGAGCTTTGGCTATTGGAGGAGCATGGTGAGTGCCTAAGACTCCCGGGATGATGATAGATCGATGCACGTATGAGAAAAATGGAAGAAACGAGCAAAACGGACAAAAACGTCCATGCTGGGGTGTGACACGGGCTGTGACACGACCAACCAGCCCGTGTCAGAGCCCATGTCACCTCAACAAAAAGAATTCGAAGCTCAGAGACCTGACACGACCCGTGACACGACCTGTGACACGGGCGTGTCAGGTCGTGTCGCGCGCACGGACAGTTTTTAATCCCTTGCCTTTTGGATAAGGAGAGCAGTTTTGGACATTAAAAAGAGCATATTAACCCTATTCTGAAGGAGGAACAAAGAGAACACAAGGAGAAGGGCTTGGAATACACAAGAGAGGCAATTGGGAAGAAGAGAAGATCAACCACAAGATTTCTAGTTTTTCTTTCTCTCTTTTGAACTTATTTTCTCATGATGATTTCTAATATGTCTATGTGTTTGAATTCGAACATGAGTAGCTAGATTTATTGATTCTAAGACATGGTAGTAGATTAATAGTTTGGGATTTTTGGATGATTTATCATAGTTGATTGTTTTCTTTTGAACTCTATTCAAATATTTTGTTATTATTTCATGAATTGCAATTGGCCACATCTTTTACATGTTTGATGATATTGTTCATAATTCGAGAGATGAGTTCAATATTAGATCTTTAATATTTGACACAATTTATTTGCTTGAATCGAGAGATTAGTAAATAGTTGTGAGGAGGATTCTGGGTCTTTTAATCTTTTTGGAGTTAAATTGCATGTGTTGATTGGAGACGCTAATATATGTGATTTAATCTACGGTTTTATCGATCTCGAGAGGGACGATAGGCTAATTTTGTGATCATCTTATAGGGTAAATAAAGAAAATAGTTAGTTGTGATATATTTGAAGGAACCCAACTGTTAATTGAACCCATAGTCTTAGAATCTACCATTCCCATATATTCTTCTTAAGTGTTTTTCTAGTTGTTTTCTTGTTATTGATTTCTTATCTTTTGAATTATTTTCCTAGTTTAGCTAATCAATCTCAATTACGGTCGTCTAAATAAAGTTGACACTATCATAATCTAGTATTTTATATATTGATTATTTGGTCTCTTGGGATACGACCTTGCTTGCCACATACTACGATCGAAGCCGTACACTTGCGGTCGAGCTTTAAAAATATAGGCGAACAAAGAACATTCGGATACATCGAAAATATAGTACAATAAATTAACATGCGTTTTGATCTTACGAATCACAAGGCGTTGAGTTTCATTTTCAAAAACTAACCTATTAGGGGCATTCCAAAAGAAGCAGACGGTAGCTGCAAGCGCCACTTTTTTCAACTTGGCTTGCCAACTTGCCATTGAGCCTCCCTTTTGATCCATTTTAGAGCACCCTTGAAAGTGCAATTGTACATAATGTATTACCATCATGATGTAAAATTTAACCTTTGTGTTTGTTGTATAATGTATTATTATTCATTATTATTTTGATGTGCAGAACTTCCTTTTGTTGCGAAAATCGCTATAAAACCAAATATACATTATAATCCATCAAATTAAACATAATTATGTCAATCGAGCTATATATCTTGACAAACTAATGGCAAATACAATATTTTATAACAAACATAACATTGACAAAATTATTGCAATAAAATTTATTTCGTGACTATAAACTATCACAAAAGCGAAATTCAGTCTTGATTGATAAATAATGGACGTATAATTTACACCCTTCTTAATGTCAATGCCTTTAATTTAAGTCAACGCAAGTTTTGGATGATAATATTTTATTTTATTTTTTTTTTTACAAAAATATTAATAAATAAGAAAAAATAGGCTACCGTGGGGATACGGTACTTCATTATTAAATGAGACAGTGAGATACGTTGTTTGACTTTTCGCGCCACGAAGGTCGTCATGAGAAAAGAATCGCTAGTCAACGTTGCGCGCTTTCAAATAATAATTTGTTAGATAAAATTATGAAAAATTAAAAAAAATAATAAAATAATTAAACTAAAAAATTTAATAAAAATAAACGAAATCGACGTGTGGCATAGTAGATGGGGGGACCGCCGCCGTACTAATCCGCCGTACAATGCGTCTAATTAATTTGTATTTTTTTTCTTCTTTACGTGGATTTGGAAAATTCGATTTTCCATATGTTTTCATGTGAAACAATTTTCGTATCGGATCATAGACAATTTCTAAAGGTGAACGAAAGTGAAATCAAAATTCAAATATTGTCACCGATAGGGATCGATTTAAGTAGTCGGTAAGCAGTTTGATGTCGCTTAAGTAAGGTCTCAAGTTCGCTGCCAGGTGTGCAACGTAGGTTGACCAACAGATTAGTCGGGGCATAGCTCCGAGTACCGTAGCGGGCTACCAAAAAAAATTCAAATATTATCTTTTTTTCCCTTTTTATCTGTATTTGTGTTTCCTCCTTTTATTTTATTTTAATTTATTAGTTGTTTTGGTTCCACATGATCAGTTTTATTTGGATCCAAATAGTTATATCAAACAGCTGATCAGCAAATAATTAAATTAGAGGTACTCACGTGTTAAATATTTATCTCGACCGAAACTTATAATTTAGCCCAAATGCTGTTTGGTAAACAAGGTAATTTAATTGTAGTTATACTGTCATGATAACTATATTAGCAACATTAATAATGTTAAAAATAGGGAAATAATTAAGCATTTATTTTTTATTTGAAGTTTTGGCACTTTTTTTTTTTAATTAAAATGTGAAATGCAAAATTTAAAATTATTAATATCTTTATGCTACAATTTGACATTTATTGAGCTATGTTAAATTTGCTTAAGTTTAATTTATACAAATTTTGTAATGTTGATTTAAATTAATTTCAACTTCTGATTGGTCAATTTTGAATTAGTGCTTGGAATTAATGGATCATTTAGCAGGCTTAATTTCTTTGTTTAGTTAATTCAATAATTTATAAAAATTATCATACCGGGAAAAATATAGTTATCAAATCATAGACTATAATTTAGTTAATTCATTTAGCAGGCTTATTTTTTTTTTCAATAAATATATAAAGTTATCAAATCATAGACTATAATTTTAAAAATTGCAATATGAATGAATAAAACTTTTCATACCGGGAAAATTGATTGTTGCGTTCTTCTCGAAATAAAGACACCACGTGTCCTTTGTAAATAAATATTTACATTTTAACTTCCGCTTACTATTAAGACAAAATGGTTCCTTATACAGCTCCCGCTCACCTGCCCACGGTGGGCAGTACTCGCTAGTTTGTTTTATATGAAAAACATATTTTTGAGAATACGTTTTTCAATTAAATTTAATTGAAAAACGTATTCTCAGAATACGTTTTTCATATAAAACAAACTAGTGGACACTGTCCACCGTGAGCAAGGGAATATATTTAGGTCCTTATAATTCCGATTTTACTCCATTTTGAAGTCTTTTTAGCGGCTCCTTTCTTTTGGCAGTTATTTTTTTAATTATTTTACATTTTTTTCCTTCATTAACACGATATTATAGGTGACGGTTCTCTCTTTCTTTCTATGTTTTTCTCTCTGTCTCTCCTTTTTTTTTCTCAACGATCCGCTATTGATTTTTTTTTCTTTAATTCCTGTTGTTTTTCTTTTTTTTTTTTGGTTTGGTCCTTTGTGAACCTCCATTGCCGGATTAAAGCTCCGTTGAAGCCCACCGCTCGTGGCCATGAGCCGGGTTTCACAATGCATCCGTTCAACCCAATTGCCCCAGTTTCTTTGGGCTCAATAGCTGCGCTGATTATGAATTTTTGTCAATGAGTAGGTTACCGAGTTTGTGGGCCCCCGTTTTTATGTTGTTTTTACACTATTTTTGTGTTGCTTTTAGGTTATTTTTATGTTGCTTGAAAATGTTATATGTTAATTTTTTTTATATATTAATAAAATGAGTTGTTTTTGACTGATTTGTGTCTACCAACTTGTTTGGGCACTTTAATTATTATAATTTTTTTTATTTGTTATTATTGTTTTTTATGTGTATTTTGCTCTTCCTTACAATGCCAAGATGTGACCAACTATCATACAACCATCCACCAAATTTGATGTATCTATTTTTTATTTTATTCTTTTCTTTTAAAAGAAAAAAATATTTTTTGTTGAAGATGTTTTTCTTTATGTTTCGATGTCAAAGGGAAAACTACGGGAACTTACCAAGAGTGATTAATTAGTGTGACAATGTTTTCTGAATGATTCGGTCTTCTGTTTAACTTTTCTTTTGTTTTTGAAGTTTTTGTTTCTTTTAATCTGATTTAATTATTATGTACATAACCAATTGATTAATTTTTTTTATTTTATTTCTTTAGGCATTCATGGTTGGAAAAGAAGAAGAAGAAGAATTGAAGAAGAAGAAGAAGAAGAAGAAGAAGAAGATAAGTCCAGAAGAGAGAAAAAAAAAACATTAACGAGAAGGGTGGGTGAGAAGGAAGAGAGAGAAAGAGGGCAATTAGAATTTTGAATTACTGTAACTCTTTGTTGGAGTATTTTTGAATTACTGTAACCCTTTGTTGGAGTATTTTTTACTTTTTGTTGGAGTATTTTTGAAATTCAATATATTTAAGTATTTTTATGGAATTCTTTTTCATAACTGGGTTAGTTATGTATTTTTCCCGTTCTTCTCCCTTCTATTCATGGGCTTTAGTTTCGTAGCCTGCTGGATCAAATAAACGACTTATGATTGGGCTATATATTAATGGGTTATAAAGATTTCTTTCCTGTAGTCCATTTTCAGATGGGCTTGACCCATTACAGAGGAACAAAATAAAATAACTAGAATGTGCCTCTATGAGATAATTATTTCTTAATGCACAAACAATTTTTATGTTTTCATGAAAATTAAAATCTGTCAAATTAGCAATAATTGTGATGGAATTTGATGTAAAATCATGTTCCAATTCTATTTTAATTCTGTTTGATGATTGACACATGTATAATTAATTATAGCACAACTATGAACACGTACAGTCATTCATCCAATGAAATGAAAACAAGAATCGAAAATCAATTGTTGATAATTAACGATACATAATATTAATAAGGAGAGAAAATTTTGAATTGCACAATAAGAAACAAGATCCCAATAGTTAATGATAATACAACAAATTAAACCAAAGCTACTTGCTAAAAGGAGATAGTATTATATAACTAGCTTAAGCAACCCTAACTTGCTACATAATGTGCTAATAGTGCTAATAAGAGCATAGTTTTCTATTCCAATAATTTAAACTAACCAAGAGTTAGCTCTAGCGAAACATCATTCGAGTCCATAAAACACGTGCATTCTCCTGAGGAAACTCGAATCGAACGATTACTCGTGTTGCTACTAATGTTTGCATGATATTTTGTGTACTTTGCCTCGTCAGCCTGAAATTGACATGGAACAACAATGTTAGATAGAAAAAAATAAAAATAAAAAATCAATGGCTTGAATTCCTAACTTTTTTGTATGAAAAATGAACTAAAAAATGTCTCACATTGGCATAGTCGATAGCTTGTGGTTTGCAGCTTCTGAATAAATCGTTAAAAATAACCGAGCCATTGCATCTACGCCCATTTTCTGCGCTTATTCCAATCGGCTTTGCTTCCTCCTCGTGCCTAAAAATTAATAGAAATATAATATATATTTGTAAAACCTATCAAAAGGCTTCATTTTTGTAAAAATAGGTTTTGAGTACCTTATTGCACGAATGTCGAGGGCTTGGCGAGCTGAATCGGGTCGAAAAGGACTTAGGGTGAGTAACCCTGAAGTACGGTGAGGATGATTTAGCTGATTTTGAAGTGAAGTGGCTTGAACTTTCTTGCTCATTTCAACTAGAGATTCTGCTATAGATTAATGAATGATGAATGATTTAGCTATCAAGTAGACATATTATAATTAAGTCCATCGTAGCAAGATTTTTACAGCTGGAAATAAATGTTACATGTAAATTGATATTACATGTCACTTTACTTGTACATTAAAATTACACGTTGGCATCAAATCCGTCCACGTCAACATTTAATTTTAATTTTAGAATAGTTTACTAGAGGAAAAAAAAAATAAAAAAAATTACACTATTTAATTTTGAAATCTTGCGTAATAACAAGTTCAATTATATTATATTAGACCATTTAAAATTTTGATAATTTTTTGAAATTCCAAAAAGGAAATTATATTCATTTGTGTCATTTTTTGCTTATCTATTTAAACTTTATAAACTAGGCATTGCAATAATTAACATCAATTTTTGTGCAATTTAAACATACCCTGCATAATCTGCTCATGCTTCATGCTCCTGTACATCTGTACATGATTAAAAAAAAAAAAAAATCAGATAAAAAATTAATTTCCCATATAAATAAATGGAGAATACTACCATCTCGTTACGAGATGGTTCCGTTATGCTTTTTAGCCGTAGATATACACTTAATCTGATAATGCGTAGATAATCCAACGCTTACAAAATATAACGGAACCATCCCACAACGGGATGGTTGTATTCTCCTAAATAAATATAATAATTACACAATAGATTTATAAATTTAAACTTATAAGTAGAGTTTCATAATTTATATATGATTTTCACCTGTAGGTGACTCTTGACGTGTGTTATCGATAGCCCTTTCACATTCATCAACTCAAGCACCATTTTTGGAGTTGCCCCTAAAAATAGAACCAAAAATCATAAATAATTGATTTACCACACTTAAAATCAATTTACCCCTAGTAAAAAAATTAAAATTGAAATCAACGGTAAAAAAAAAGGTTCTTTCTTCTTTACTCTCCATGCACATGCAATTTTTATCCACCAAAAAGAAAAGGTAAATAATAAATAAATAAACATAAGAATGAAAAAGAAAATTACTATCTTCTCCTCCGAGTCGATCCACGGCCCTTACGAAGCTCTGGTGGAGATCTTGCGTCCACCTCAGTCGGGGCAGCTTCGACCTCACGTACGGCCGGACGCCGGTTCCGGTGGCCGGAGGTCGTTTACCGGAATCGTGGCGCCGGAGAGGGTTCGGTCGATCGGCCGGTCGGATGCTGACGGAGCAGAGATAGCGAGATGGAGAATCCATGAATTGAGCTTAATTCTATTTGGAAACTTTATTTTATTTTTTTATTTAAATTTTTTGAAAACTCAAAAAATATTTTTGCTGGTTTTGTTGGGGGGTGAGAGTTTGGTCAGTGTTGACAAAAGGGAGAATAAATATTAGTGAATTTTGACTGTTGTAATTGTTTGTCTGTTTGTGAGGCTTTTTGGGTGGATTTGGGGGCATTTTAGTCTTTTCGGGTTAGGGTTGTGCGTGGGGGAGGAATGGAGAAGAAAATTCCTCTCGGAATTCCATAGCCTCGGGATAAGTTCGGAAGATACCAATTTTCTTCAGTTTTTATTTTATTTTATATGGATTTTATTACCACATATACCAATTATATACCAATTAGTAGTAGAATTTTTTTATTTTATTTTTTTCATATCTTGATTTGTTAATGCACATAACACAAGGGACCAATTTTCTAATAATAAAAATGTTGGTGAGATTTACCCTATATATATATATAATATTATATATACAGTAATTCTCCTTATCCACAGTTGGCACATGTTAATATGTCCACGTGGTGATGTTAATATGTTCAAAAAAATACATCACCAATGTGTGCATGCCACATAAACGGTGGACATATTAACATGTGTCCACCGTTAGTAGGGGAACATTACTCTATATATATATATTTGAATTGTCCACAAAACCTTTGAGATGATTACTCCATATATATGTTGGTGTACCTTTTTTTTTTTTAAAATTAGATCCATAGAAAAGAAATGATATTAGATAATTGCATTCGAGCACTTTCTGTTCGAGTTCGAGATCATTTAAGCTAAGTATTGCTCAGCTCGTTTAACAAACTCAAACTAGTGAATGAGTTGTATGTCGATTTTTGCGTTTGCAACCATGCTCGTATCGGCTATTCGTTCAAAAACTATAAAAGATATTAAAAATTAAACTATTTTTTCGCGAACGAGCTTAGCTCGTTTAATAAATGAGTTCGATTAGTAGTTCGAGTTCACTTGTTTAAAGAAATGAACTTTACTTGAGAAAACAATATAATTATTATACTTGTGTGTTTTGTATTAATATAATATATGTCAGTTCCAAAAAAAAAAAAAATACATAATTTATTTACTAGTGTATTTTGAAATTTATATAATATATGTCAATTCCCAAAAAAAAAAATCATAAATTCCTAAGAAAGAGCACATTAGTTGGAATCGCCAAAATTCAGTTAAATTTCTAATGGAAAAGTAATTCCAACGAAACATATTTTGCCCGAGTTTTTGTTGAAATATGTCATTAGTATTCAATTTTTTCCATTGAGCTGCACTATATTATTCGTTTGAATTTTATCATTTTCTTGTCGTCTATGTAGAATTTGTCTCTAATATATAATTTATTCACACACACACACACTCATAAATTTCAAATTCCTTTTCTATGTAAAAAACAGCCAAAATCTGTTGGGCTAATGCAGACAGTAACTAGAGATAGGAAACAAAAGAGTGGTTCAATTTCAATTTATGAAACATGAAAAAATGAAAATAAAAATTTAATTAACCAATTAAATTGTCACCAATAAATATAAATCGATCCCTTCTGCTGCTTTTCAACTACTGTATTAATTCATGAACAACTCACTCTTTTTTGTAAGCATTATGCAAGGCACTGAGTTGTATCCTATGCATGCGGTCTCACCGTAAAAGGTGGAAACCCTTTTAGATTAGAATAAAAGAAAATACAAAAATCATCCAAACAGAAGATCACAAATTCTTGTGTGGAACGACGACGTATAGTATACGAGTTTTGAGCTGATACAGATCGTTAATTGAAAGGGTATTTGTCGGTAGAACTTGAAACGAATATAATTACTGCAAGAAAATGATGAAATTTCAATAAAAATATATTCAAATGTTATTAAATTTTCATTGAATTCTGACGACTCTAACGGGTATAAATATGCGGTTAATTATTATTTTTTGTGTGGTTTTTTAAAAAATGTAGCATTTAATTCACATACAAATGTATCTCTTTATTACTCTGTTATTCAGATAGACAGTACAATGTACACCTACTTTTACATACAAAAATATTTCTTTAAAAGGGTAACATAAGCATTCATAGCAAATTTGCAATAAAACACAGTCAATTTTAGCTTGAATATTCTTATTTCCACTCTCAAAATGACTAATTCCAGTCAACCGCAGACAACATCATCAACCAATCATAGTGTGACGCGCTCACCACTTACACACACTTGGCGATGTCTTTAGGCTCCCACGTGGCAAGCCTGATGTCATCCCAAGTACAGGTGACGCATGTTGCTGTAAGCAAACGTGTATGTGGAGTGTAATTTACATTTATTTATAGATAAATATGCGCATCACTTTTTTTTACTTTTTTTTTTTTAAAAAAAAAGTAAAAAATATATTACTAAAGCACTCATTATCGAAAATATATGGGCCTCTTTATAGAAGACACAAGAGGTAAGCCCATCAGTTCGACTCCTTGATTGGCCCATTCTAAGATCCATTGCACTACCCCTACAAAACCAAATTAATTTAAGAGAAATTAACACAACTAGTACGAACCCGATGCACGGACTGTATTTATTTTGGAGAATATTATAATTTGAAGTGTATTAATAAATAAAAGAGTGATATTACGTAGGTAAATTATAAAATCATAAAATATTTATTATAACAAAATAATATATTATTAAGAACCTCATTGTACGCTATTATTAGTTTGATTACTTGGCAACTTGTTGTCCCCAAAAACTAATATTTTAAACTCATTTCTATTACTTCCATGCGAAACAACAACATATAATAGGCGTGACTAAAAACTAATTTATTTAAGAAAAATGTCAAAGTACGATAAAATCTGACTCTGATTTTTATTTATTGTAATGACATACATAACAATAAGTAAGAATAGATGCCGTTGGAACTTAAATGAAACTCTAAGATCAGAATAATCTACATATAATATGATAATTTAACTGACAGTTCGACAATGAGTTGTTAGTTTATCATTTTAATATCGATTATACTTAATTAGCGAAATAATATTTACCATTACTTTTATAGTTTTATATTTTATATAAAAGAACATTAAACATGTATATTTAAAATATTAAAAATACCTAAATATTATATAATATGTGTAATTAGACATTAATTCACG